GCATCTTTTTAGGCTATTCTCACGATCTACACATACTTTATCTTCTCTTCTATGCTCTATCTCTTCTCTACCATGCCTCTTCTCTACTCTGTCTCTTCCTTGCTCTGTATGTTCTCTACTATATCTTTTTTTATAATATGTCTCTTCTCTACTCCATATCTTCTCTTTTCTACTCTATCTCTTCTCTTTTCTATCTGTTTTCTACTTTATCTCTTATCTTTTTTTATCTCTGCTCTACTCTATCTCTTCTTTAATGCCTCAACATCATGTTCTCATATAGACCCAACGATCACATATTATTCTACCATATTCTCTATCTTCTAAGGGGAAAGAACATCCCACTACCTTTCCGAGTACACTCATCCGGTCTTCATCCTCTTTCTTATGATCCCCGTGGATCCTTAATCTTTCTTCTTCTCTTGAATCCCTCATAGATTCCTTACTATTAATCCATTGCGGATTACCATTAAGTTCTTAAAAATAACTCTCTTATCCTGTTCCTCTCAAGGAACCCTTCTCCGTCTTCTCTAAACATACATAATATGGACTAATGCAGGAACCATCTATTTACATCCCCAAAGGGATCATCATCTCTTTCCATCATCCTTTCCCTGTAGGGACATAATCTCATTCCTAAAGGAACCATACTCTTTGTCCCCGAAGGAACCATACTTTTATTACTGAAGGAATCATACTCATGTCCCAAAAGGAACCTCTATCTCTTGTCCCTGAAGGAACCATCTTTCTCTACATCTTTATTTTTTTATGTGGCTCATCACATCACACATGTCTCATGGACAATCTATCTCTTTATCGCATCAATAGATACTTTACTACCCATCTAGTACTTAATACATTAATTAATTAATCTTTATCTATGTCTAAGAACATATAGGCATTCTACATAATGTCATTCATGTCTAGACATATATATACATACTGTTATTATTACATTATATATAATCATCTTCTAATTCTTTCTTCCATCTTTTAGGTATTTATCAAATACCTTCTCATCTGATCATATCTACTCTAGGTATACATATGTGACAAATGAGAAATTTCCATCAAACAACCGTCACTAGGGTTTAGCATAGACAAATGGAAGCAATAGTGTTTTTCATGTTACGGAAAAATATGATCAAATATGCTATGACTTATAAGTGGAAAAAAGTTAATAGGCTCAAGAATAAGTGACCAAAAAGTCATAACCGTTATTAATAATGGTTAGTGTATTTGGAAAGTACAGAATAACGTGATCCCAAGGATATAAACTTTGTAAAAATCTGACTCCAATTGGAGGAGTTATGATTTTATGAAAAGTAAAAATCAAATGCGTAATTAAAGTCACTAACGTCAAAATGATGTAAAGAAATGGGTTGAGTTTTGGTTAAAGTCATTAAAAGAAAAATCGTAGTACTCCGAGAGATAAGAACTCTGAGATAAAGAAGGTCAAAAACGGAGTTTGTATAAAGAAGATACAATTTTTGGAAAAACATAAAATACGGGTTAAAAATGAAAGTTAAAATTTGACAACACAACCTTAAGGAAAGTTAATCACATGTGAATCTATATATACATGTGCATTTTTGTGAGTGTTCTTGCATTAATAATTTTTCTTTTCTTGTAGATTTTGAAGAATTTGTGGAAAATCATGAAGATGTGAAAAGTGATAAATTGAAGAAAATATAGAAATCTTGATACGAAGAAATGATAACATTGTGAATCTTTTGTAGCATTTTTTTATATTTTATATTTTATTTTATATCGAATAAAATACTTGTACTATTATGTTTATAAATTGATTAATAAAAATGATATTTTTTATTATTTACTTACGATTATTATTGTATAAGAAATGTGCGTATATGCATTTGAAAAAATATGCATATATACACCTAAAACATTGATTTTTTTGTTAAAAACATTAGAGTTTTTTTTAAATATTCTAGTTTTTTTTTTTAATTTTCATATTTTTAAAAATCTTACTTTTTAAAAAAAATGCAGTTTTTTTGAAAAAAATTGCAGTTTGTTTTTAAAAAATGTAGTTTTTTAATAAAATTACAAATTTTTTTAAAAACAATGCAATTTTTTTTTTAAAATGCAATTTTTTTTAAATTGCAGTTTTTTTAAAAAAAAATTGCAGTTTTTTTAAAAAATATATTTTTTTTTCAATTTTTTTAAAAATTCATGTTTTCTGAAAAAAAAATTAAAAAATCTCCATTTTTTTAAATCAAAAATTATTTTTAAAAAAATCCGAAATTTGATTTATTATGTTAATTTTTAGAACTTTTTATTAATATTTCCAATAACAAAAAAATAAACATTAAATGAGATCGATAAGATGATGATCATGCCTTTAATGAGTTAATTTTGATGTAACATTCCACCTTTAGTTCTCGGTTCTCGGAAAACTATGAGTTTTCAACGGATCTCACTCCTATATATAGATATATATATATATATATATATATATATATATATATATATATATATATACACACACACAAACACACTAAGTAACAAGTTCCATCATCGCCTTGGAATATTTTATGAAGTCAGAATTCAACCCAGCCTAGCTGAAGTAGCCCAAGATTTTCGAGACAATATATATATATATATATATATATATATATATATATATATATATATATATATATATATCGTGGAAGATTTTCCTTTTCTTGTTCTAAAATCTGAACGATTAAAGATTTATCCATCAATGCTTGCAAGAAGTTGAGAACCCCATGCACATTCCATGCTCGACTGGGTTGCCATAATAAGTTATGTCTATTTGAGCTGATTTTGTTCGAGACTTTGGAAAAGACTCCATTATCTCTTTGTCACCAAACAAATACTTTGCTTGATATGTCTCTGTAACAATTTTTTGCTCAAGACCAAATATGTGCGATTTGTCGTAGTTAAAACTTGAATTACCTCTCAAGGAAACTTTAATATGTCGCAGAAGCCTTCCAGATTTTTAGGTATCGGAGCAAATGAGACCCTTCATGGATCCAAGAGTGAAAATACATGGTGTTGGAGGGTGTTTTTGATGTGGCAGAGCTTGAATGCAAAATCTTGGGTTACAAAAACATGTCATTAAACCCTAGGGTTTTGGGGGCACTTTCTGGAAAAGCTGACTAAATGGATGCCAAAGTAATATGTGTCAAAGTTTAGAGGAGGGGTGTTGATTGTTCCCCAATTAGTGGTTTTGTACACAGTGTCGTCGGGAAGGGAAAACTAGACTTGTCAATGATCTAATAGGTTTGAGTGTACTTGGCTTAATTTCCCCTTCAAATTAATTTTAGAGTCAATAGCCTTGTCCAGACTTTGAGGGCCCAATACTTTAATTTCAACCTTCATTATATCATGACCTAGGGTTACCTTTTATGTCACTACTTTTAATAGTGTCGTCTTCTCCATCATTATTATGATCCGAACACACGCCGAATGATTCTCGTCTAACAATCCTACCATTGACGACATATATTATCTACGAATCAAGCCCTTCAGCTCTTCCCAGCCTGGTAAACATTGCTTACAATGCTCACCTTCATATCACTGTAGCGCTTCACCTTCAAGAGCCCTAACTGTTGCTTCTAACTTGTCATCTTCAAGCAATTTGTGAAACGAAAAATACTTGTCAATCCCCATTATCCAGCTCTCGAGTTTGTTACAGTTGAACATAGGTATTTCCAATTTTCCATCACACAGCTTTGAGTCTCTTACATTCAGAGTTGCATCCTCGTTCTTGTTCTCAATTCCCAGAGGTGGTGGAGACATCGACGGTAAAGATGGAAGTTGAGGTTCCATCTTGGGTTCCGATTTTGACTCATAAACTTTCGATGATATTTCTTCTCCCTCACAAATGATGGTGGTAGTGTTTGTGACTAGGGTTGCTTACAAGCAATCTTGCAACATAACCCTTTCTGGCAGAAAATACAAGCAACTTCTTGTTTGTGTATGCCAAAGAGCAGTAACCATCGATGGTGGTGAGCAATTGTTGGCATTGCCGACCTTCTTTCTATCTTCCAAGGTAGAGAAGTAAATCTTTCTCCATCTAGCCCCCCTCTGAGCCTCTGCCTTCCTTTTCAGGGCAGAAAGGTAAATCTTTCTTAATCTAGCCCTCTCAGCCTTTCTGTCTTCAACTCTTTCTTCCCCGGCAACAAATTGATGCTCTAATACCAACTAAGTCTTAATTGGTAGAGTAATTGAGTCTTAATTGATAGACTCTACTACATTCTTGCTTCACAACCACAAATCATTCAATGATAGCATAAATTTAAGATAGTATTCCTAGTCATTCGAGAGAGTAAAGAGGCTCTCCAAGAAGAACGATAAATATAATTATTAGCTACCTATAAAGGACTCGACACTACCTTAAATATAACAATAATAAGACAAAAACATGCAGCTACTGGTCCAGAAAAGGTTTGTCCCCCACAACAATTGTTTCCACCCATGATTTGGTTGCAGACTAACTAATTGACAGATTAAAATAAAAGACTAAAATACCCCTTCGGCCAAATACCAACATAACAAGAAGGAATCACCCAATTTCCCTTTTTTTCCTTTTGCTATACACGAATAAAGTTTGGGGCTTATCATATACTTCCACTTTATACGATCATGAAAAACTCTAAAACAAACCCTTGTACATCAATGGATTTAAGACGCAAAACATTCACTGTGTTTAGCGCGCATTGGACTAACATTAATAATAATTACAGTTTTTTGTCGCACTCTAAATGGAACAAAGATTTCTTATATTTGCATTTGATGTAAATGCCTTTCTCATTCATCATCATGACTAAAAATACCCCCAAAACAAATGTCAAATAGATTGGCATGACCCACTCAAAGAGTTAACCAACACGGCATAACCAATTATTAAGGAGTGTGATACCCAATTACCAATATAGCTTTCCACAAGCTGAAAACCGGTTGCCTACCCTTGGGACCCCTTAAAAAGGATATAAATGTACTAATTGAACAACTTATTATCAAAAAAAATCAAAACTCAAACAAATTAAATTGTTCCATGACATTGTAAACACCTTAGGAAAACACAATTCCTTTCAATATCACCCATTTCTAGGTAACAAGACACACAAAACACACACAACTAGGGCTCAAAAAGCATATAGATAAAAATTAGTAAATTACCCCTCTGTTAGCTATAATGTTCAGGATCAGCTTTGCTTCTTATGATAGGAACACCATCTTCTCTCCAAATCACACGTTCTTCACATATTGCAGCTGCCACCTCAGCATACATTTTATGTTCCTAACAAACCATGTATTAAAGATTACAAAAAAGATTGCAAAAGACACAAACTTGATTCCAATCAATGTAAAATTCACTACCTGGCGAAGAACCCTTGCAGCAAGTTCTTCAGCAGTGTCATTAACAACCACAGGAACGATTCTTTGAGCCAGAATTCGACCCGTGTCATAGTTCTCATCAACAAAATGGATCGTGGGACCCGAATATCTTCTCAAATAACAGAAAAACAAAAACACATAAGAGATCATATGAAGCAAAATACAGCAAAAAGAAAGATTGTGAAGAGGTTAAGAACATTCATTACCTAGCTCCAGAAGCAATAACAGCTTTATGCACCTTGGTACCATAATACCCTTTGCCTCCAAAAGCAGGAAGAAGTGAAGGATGGATATTCAAGATTGAATTTGGATAAGCTCGGATCAATTCAGATGGTATAAGCTTCAAGTATCCAGCTAGAAGAATAAAGTCAATCTTGTATGTACTACAGAGCACAATAGCATGTATTGAGAAACAAAAAGAAAAAGGGAACGTATGATTATAGGAAGAAATTCACCTTAGAGCAGCTACAAGATCGTTTGAAGACAGGCCTTCTGGTTCTTTCTTTGTACTAGGATATATTATAACCGGGATGCCATTCTCTCTTGCATACTGTGCACCTCCACAATCTATAGATTTACAAAACTGAAATTGGTAAAGATATTGAAGACGAAGCATGCAAAATCGAAGAAGGTAAAAGATGAGAAACAAGATGCTTTAATCTACCATGTTTGTTGGTGACTAATACAACAAAGCGTCCGTGAACATCTCCACTGAGAATCGCCTGATGAACAGCTCGGAAATTCGAACCGCCGCCGGAGACAAAAACAGCAAGGTTTTTCCTTCGAACACCGTTCTTTAAACTCTCGCTTTCATCAAAACTAGTTTCTAATTGTTCGTTGCTACTTCTACACTTCAATACTCTCCTCCTCGACGCTACAAGCGGCGGAAAATCATGAAAATCATGGGATTTTAAGGATACTCGGCTTTGCGACTTTAATTGTGAACTCGATAGCCGAGAATCAGAAGTAAGGAATGGCAATAAGGTTGTATTTTTATGGTTTTGAAGTGATGAAAACAATGAATTTGAACAAACACTAAAAAGGGCTTCCATCGTTATATAAAGGCTAGCAACTTTAGGGTTTTGGAATGGTAGTATAATGATTAATGCGATTCAAGAACCACCTAAATAGCGTGCTTAATACTGCCAATTGTATGGGATTTCAGTGACAAAACTAATCGAATTGCAATAGATTTGTAGGAGATAAGGAACAAATAGAAGAGAGTGATGATTGATTCGAGGTTCTCAGAGAAGTAGCGCTGGAGGCGATGGAGCGGGAAGAGGGCTCGGGTTAGAACAGCAAAGTACAAAAATATCCCTAAACTATTGCAAATTTCAAAACTAAACCCTAGCCCATATAGAATTACAAACGTTATCCCTATACTATTTGTTAGTCTATAACCAACAGCTGTTTTTATACTTTGTGTCTAATCAAAAAGTCCTTATCGATATGACAAGTTGGATACATTTGTGGAATAAAGAGGTACATAATGATTCGTGGTTCAAACAATTTTTGAAAACAGTTTCAGTTTTGTGAAAACAATTTTGGTACAAGAGATAAACAACAGAATTACAATTAGAACTATGTTTATCCAAATAAAAATGTTTAAATTAATATCATCAACTGTAATCATGATCGTCCGTCTTTTATTTCTGAAAACAATCGCATTCTTGGCCTTCCATATCATCTTGAGAGTGGTGTAGACTAGAGAAAAACGCAGCTTCTTGATTTTTTTACTCCCCACATCAGATTTAAACATATCCAATAAGTCATCATAGGAATTAGGCAGCCTCATAAGAAGGGAAGACCAGTTCACCAGACACCAACTATGTCCACAGAACCGCAGCGAAAGAAGAATAGGAGAAAAAAACATGATCAATGCTCTCATTAGTTTCTTTGCAAAAAGGACATAAGGTAGACGAGACATTAATTTCATGCATAACTAAGCTCGAGAAAGTAGAAATTTTGTTTTTAGTCAATCTCCAAACAAAACAGTTGAATTTTAAAAGGACCCATTTTACCCAATTGAAAGAATCCAAAGTCTCATTACTAGACTGAATTGTCATCACCTCTCTTAAAGCTTTTACCGAAAACACATCTCCATCGTCGCCTCCCCAAATCCACTTGTAACAGATTTCATCAAACCTGAAAACAGCGATCTGATCCGCTAGTGCCTGAAATTGACGTGTTTCCCTCCCACCTCTAAGTTGCCTCGCCCAGTCCCAAAAAAAAGACGAAATATGCCCATTCATAAGATTGACTCTCTCTTCCAAAATATTCTTTCTTTTTCTAAAGAGAAATTAAATATCCTCCTACTTTTGTTCCTACAAATCCTCATATCCAATTAAATGATAACATGTGTCATTTTAGTATATTTAAATATCATTAAATGAGCATTAAATGTGACACATGTTATCATTTAATTGGGTAGCAAGATTTGTAGGAACAAAAAGTAGGAGGATATTTAATTTCTCTTTTCTCAATTGCATAAAAGTTGGGATGAGCATCTTTTAAAGTCATATCACCACACCAACGATCCTTCCAAAATAGTGTTTTGTGCCTGTTTCCAACAACTCTTTTAAAAAATATATCAATACAGATATCGCTTTCAAAATCACAATTGATTTGAGAAATACTTAACCAAACACTTTTGATAGACTTATTGGTTATCGATCTACCATCAATAAGCTTAATATTATGAATAGCTTTTATATGAGAAAACCAAAAAAGAATCATACCCATTTTTCAATCTCCACTACCACTTGGCGAAAAGTGTCAAGTTAGCCAAATCAAAACATCCAACTTCAAGACCTCCCATCGCCTTTAGTTTAATAACCACCTCCCGAGCCACCCAATTGATTTTCCTATTGTCTTCACCTCCCCATAGAAATCATCTCCTAATGTCATCCAACACATTAATATATTTTTTTTTGGGGGGGGGGGGGGGGGGTGGTCAAAAAAGAGAGAAAATATATAAAGGAAGACTCTTAAGGACCAAATTTAATAAGGGGGTCCGACCACCAAAGGAGAGACATTTTTCTTTCATTTCTCACAATAGCATAATTTCATTTCAGCATTTCTTTCTAAATTTATGTTCCTAATGCGTCAATAATACTCCATTTCAGGGAAACAATATGGTGTATAAGAAGAAAAAGCAAAAGTATGGCCTTAAGTTTTAAAATCAATTCTTGTTTTAAGTGATCGATACTTAGGACACACGTGAGTTAGGTGGACATAAGGTTACCTATTAGTAATCGGCTCCATTATGAAATAATAAGGAATAAGTTAAAGTTGAGTTTACTTTAATAGAAAAAATTAAGTCTAAAACGAAACAAAATAAAAAAAATATATGGTATTTTATTGAATAAACCCAATTTACCTGTTGGTAACCAGTTCCATGACCAAAATAACACATAATAGGTTAAATTTGAGTCTTTATTGAGAGGGAAAAAAAGTTTTAGGTCTAAAACCGGAAAAAAAAAATGCAAGGTCTTTTATGGAATAAACCATGATTTCTAGGTATACATATCAACATATATGGACACTAGGTAATAATTGTAACCATCAATGTGACTTGGTAATGATCACTTAATCAAACACTTCATAAATGTGTCTCATATCCAAATCACAAAAACTTTAACTTTGAGCTGATATGTTGTTTGAAAAAAAATGTAACATTTTCCACGGGTAACATATCCCACGCTTTCTTAAATTATTAACATAGTTATGACTTAAATGACCATGCATGTAACACCCTGTTTTCACTTTACTATAAATTATAACATAACATGTTTATTATAAAATTTGAAGTAAATATATAATTTTTTAGTCAAAATAATCTTAACAAAAGTTGTAGTAGTCATGGTGACGATTCTGTGGGTATAAAGAATGCCCAAATCTGACTTCGTATGAGGAAGTTATGATTTTTCTAAGTTTCGCGTTCAACCCAATACAACAATATGTGTCATAAAAAGTAAACATGAAACAAGTTGCTTTTTAGCCAAAGTGATATAAATAAAAGTTGTAGTACTTGTCGATACGAAGTCAGGGATATAAACAACGTCAAAAGTGAAGCTCTCATGCGAAATATATGAAGCAAACTTGGCGCCTAAGCTTGATATGCAATGTCTTTTCGCTGTGTAATCTTTACAGATTTGTATATTTAAAATAGAATGAGAATTAGCCAACGGAGTCTAAATAAAAGTTATGGTACTCGTCGATACGAAATTAGGGATATAAAGAACTTCAAAAACGGAGCTCATACATGGAAGATACGAAGCAAACTTGGTGCCTAAGCTTGAGGCACGGGGCGGCCTACCAGCAGATTGCCTATAAATAGCAACTCAATCACCCCTCATTCATTGTTCATCCCCATTCAAGTTTCTATCTCTATGAACTCTTTCTCTCTCTATAACTCTAGCTTTTTGAGTCGCGAAGTGTTCGTAACTAAGTGGTGCGGCATTGGAAAGTCAGACGAAAAATAATATTCGAAGTCGAAGTTCTGCCTGCGACTTCTCGTAATTTCACTAGAAAACTTATAAGTTAATTTATACTAGCTATATTTTAAGTGTAACTTATATTTATGTTCATAGTCATTATTATAAACTTATAAATAAGATTTATCAATAATTTCAGTTATAATACTGATTGATCTACTTACATGAGTGATGTATAGGCTAGAATTAGTGAGGTGTTTAAAGTGGATTTTCCAAACAGTATACATGTATTCCAGACGGATCCTACCTCTAATATGATATTATCTGGTCATTCTTTAACATCTATAACTTGAAGTATTCATTGGGATTAATGAATGATATAAATATTAGTCGTTATACTCAAGTAGATAATAACATTTAAAGTATATTATAGGTTGATTCGTGTTGGTCAAATTATATGCAACTCTACATACTTAGTCCTTTCGAGACTGTTTATGTGAGTTATCTCACTGTACTATATATTACAATATTTCTCCATATATGATAGGATGTACGAGCTAGTAGAGCAAAGTTATATATATATATATATATATATATATATATATATATATATATATACTAATTAGTAGTCTATGTATGATCGAATGTTGCTTATATGATTAGTTCATTATGAATGTGTAAGGAGTTGATGGTAGAACGACAATAGGCCGTGAGCCTAAAGACTCGTGTTGACGACGAAACAGTGATAGTGTAACACCCCATTTTCGAATTCCTAAAGAATTCAATATAAACCGTCATTTATAAAATTCGAAGTAGATATATATTACATTTTAGAAAAAAGTAATCATCATAAACATGTAGGACACATCAATACAATTTTCGTACAAATATAGAACGCCCGAATCCGACTTCGTATGAAGAAGTTATGCTTCTTCGAAGTTTCGCGATTGAACCGACACGACTATACGCGTCATAAAATATGAATCGTAGATAGATCACTTATTAGCATAAGTAATCTAAACGAAAGTCATAGTAATCGTAAAACCGAGAGCATGCATATAGAGAACATCCAAATCTGACTTGGCATGAGGAAGTTATGGTTTTTAGAAGTTTCGGCAAAGTAGTATGCGACACAGAAACTGAAATTGAAATCATTCAATTGTTAGGAAAAACAATCTAAACGAGAGTCGAAGATCTTGTCGATATAATTTTGTCGATATAAAGACAGTCGAGAATGGAATTTGTATGTATAAGTTATGATTTTTATACGGACTTTAACAGTCTAACCCTATTAAAAATCTATCTAAAAAATAAAGTGAGATATAGCTGATGGAGTCTAAATGAAAGTTGTAGATATCGTCGATAGCTACGTGTGGATATAAAGAACTTAAAAATGGAGCTCGTATGAAGGAGATATAATTTTTTGAAAAAACTAAAAATACGCGCGTGCGCGTCGCTCCTCGAGAAGAGGCATGATACGCTATGACACATCACCAGCTTACTGATACGTGTCACCACACAGAAAACGCCACATGGTAACCTCCGGTATCACCCAAGAGCCTGGCGTGCTTGGTGGGTATGTACGGCACGCTTCCCCAGAATTTGCCTATAAAAGCCAGTTTCAAGCCCCATTCCTCTCCTCACTAATTTCAAACCTTCTCTCTAGTTTTAGGGCACGGAAATAGATTCTTCCTTTGGGATTTCCGAGTATTTTAGTTTAGCGAAGCGCTGGGTATTCAGGCTCGACTAATAGAAGCTCTCGGGTCGGAATTCTGCCCGCGTATTTTTTCCGGTTTTTGCTAAAATCTTTGTAAGTTAAGCTACACTCTTTTGATTTCAATGTAACTAATATTTATAGTCATAAGTCGTTATTATGAACCTATAAATAAGATTTATCAGTAACTACAAGTCATAATACTGCTTGATCTATTTAC